CATTCGCCTGCTGCTCCTGCTGCTCCTGCTGCTGCTGCTGCTGCTCCATAACACAGTGACGGCTGTGGACCCCGCCCCCCGTCTTTGATCTGCAGGTAGAACCAGACACAGTCTGGGAGAAGATACTGTAGGACGTCAGATCAGGACGCTGCTCCGACCAGGCCTCAGTTCACTCCCCCACACCTGCACCGTCTCCTCTGTGAGGTGGGGGGCGGGGGGGCTTCTCTCAGGCAGTAAAGATGAAGGAGCAGGAGTTTCCCACCTGTCGACAGGAAATGGCACAAGTTCAGTCCACACAGGACCAGGGCCAGGTTCCTGTCCAAGACCTGGTCCCTCCTGTCCACAGCAGTCCCAGGTTCAGGGCTGACCTCCTGGGACAAAGACAGAGGACGTTCCTGACGTGTTCCTTCACGTCGGCGCGGCTCCTTCTCCTGCTCCATACGGTACGTTCCACCTTCTTGTTTGTATTGTTTCACTGGCACTGTGGGATTATGGGAGTTTTACTGACACAGACGCAGCAGAACCTGGTGGGATGTCCAAGAACCAAACCCTGAAGAACGAGGTCCAGGTCCACATGTAGGAACCTCATGGTTCCACTTCACTGTTGTGACCACCAGAGTGACCACCATCACAGGAGAACCTCTGTGGAACCACCAACCATCTCCACGGTCCAGTCTGCTCTTCTTCTTCTTCTTCTTCTTCTCCTCCTCCTTCTTCTTCTCCTCCTTCTTCTTCTTCTCCTTCTTCTTCGTCTTCTTCTTCTTCTTCTCCTCCTTCTTCTTCTTCTCCTTCTTCTTCGTCTTCTTCTTCTTCTTCTCCTTCTTCTTCTTCTTCTTCTTTTTCTTCTTCTTCTTCTTCTTCTCTTCCTTCTTCATCAGAGTCTTCTGGAGGATGACCTTTGACACTAGGTCATGACCTGCTGTTTAGTCCCTAATTGTCCACTTCCTGTAAATGTTAAATGTCCTGGATCAGAACCCGAGGATGACGCCAATCATCAGAACGGTCCAATGGAACCTGGTCAAAGGTCAAAGGTCAAAGTCAGGGTGGAGGTGGGACAGACGGACGGGTCTGGACCTCAGTGTCAACAGCTACACCTACCTGTCAATACCGCCGCCCTTCCCTTCACTGTGATGCACTGACTCAC